GAATGGAAGGATAGATACTCCTTGCAGACAGCTGGTCATTTGCATCCCTTTAAAGGGTTATTGAGACCACTTGGAGGTTTTTCTGTGTCCTCAGGAATCAGGAGTACTATTCAGGTGACCCTGAGGACCCAGATACACCTCCAAGTGGCCTTAATGACCCTTTGAAAGGATGCAAATGACCAGCTGCCCGCAAGGAGTATAAACCCTTCCGTTCCCCACCATCCAGTCAGAGCCGAAGAAGCTTCTTGGATGAGAAGTGAAGTGTCTTCAAAAGCCAAAAAACAAATAAGTCCAGTTGCCTCATGAAAAAAGCACATAGGTGCGAGGGGAACCGTTACCTTTAGTCTAATGAAGAGAAGGACTAAGGGTGACATGATAGCAGTGTTCCAATATCCACAAAGAAGAGTCAACTTATCCTTCAAAGCACTAGTGGGATAGAAATGTGTTGGCAGGGAAACCATTAAGGAAAAAGAAGGAAAGAAAAACAGAAATATGAAGAAGGGTTGAAGGCATTGGGTACGGTTAAGTCTAGAGAAAAGCAGGACTAGGGGAGACACGATAGCAGTATTTCAATATTTGAGGGGCTGCCACAAAGAAGGGGTGCTCAAGTTGGTCAAGCTATTCTCCAAAGCACCTGAAACCGGGACAAGAAACAATGGATGGCCAGGGGGTTGGACTAGAAGACCTCTGAAGTCCCCTCCAGCCATATGATTCTAAATGATGCATCCTAAGAAAGGAAGAAATCAGCTTTTAGTTATGGGTGAAGGCTGCTCTGTGCTTGCTTAAAAATCTGCACATTCTAAAAAGAAAAAGAATGAACAAGAAGTTTTATGATGTTTCCGCAACAAATATGAGTTGGAATGTGCATCCTGGTCTCTTTGAGATTATATACTGGCCAAATGAGATTTATGCATCTGACCTGGTTGTGTTTGGTCCACGTTTATTTGTTGTTATTTGTTGTTATTTTTTTCACCTCTTTTGCCACCCAGCGCTTTTCGTTGCAAACTCTCCAAAGAGGTGAGAGTCTCTGGAATTTAATTCTGGTTCTTTTTTTTTTTTCCTTTTCTTCCACAGACCTGCAGACTTTACTTCGGATGATACACGAAGACGTGGCTAAGAATTTTAGCAAGGAAAACATGTTTTGGAGTACAAAACCACAATAGTAAGTTGCGGGGGCGGGGGGGTTGGCTTTTTTTTAGTGGGGAGGGGAAGAGCATGCCTGTCTCTAATTTAAAGAGAAAATTGCATTTGTTTGCATTTTACAAAAGTCGTTTGTTAAATTAGTTTGTCGCATATTAGCCGGAAAGGCTCCCAGGGCTGTTTACATAGCTTTTAATATATATATATTTTTAATCTGACCAGTTTTAAATTGAAATTAAAAAAGACGGGATTTAGAAAGGAAAGACAATAGGGAGTTTAGTCTCCCTCACTCCTGCTCCCTTAACCCCGGGCTGTGAGATAGCTGGAGGAAGTGGCAAAAATTGACAATTTAAATGGCATCATTCCTTAAATTGCCAACTGGAAGATTTGAGGGCCTCCGAACCATTATTTGTTTCCTTTGCTTAGCAACTAATTAGCCGTATTAGGAATGTTGGCTACATGGGTAATTAGAATAGGGTGGTCTACAGGAGGTAGCTGCGATTAGATGGGTGGGGTTATGCTATAAAGGGCGCTGGAAGGCAAACGTTCCCAGCGCGAACCTAGTTTGGAAGTCAAGCCATTATCGCCGGATGGGATGTGCGTTACAAATAAACGACTGCATACATCAATGTTTAACGTTGGTTTGTAACTTGGGAATACGAACATCTTGAAGACCGGCTGACACGACTTCTGAGCTCCAAGTTCTCTTTCTTATTTTTTTTAGTCTACAAATGTACGACAGCGAAATATCGTTTGGACAACGAGGCAAGAGGTAAGCAACAATCGTTCTCCTGCCCACTGACTGCATGCAAGACCCCTGGAGGACTGTCCTTCGTTACTGGTAGTTCTCAACTGGCGACCGTTCATTTAGTGGCCATTCGAAGTTACGACGGCACGGGGAAAAAAGGGACTTACGACCTTCCCCCCACACACACAGAGTTACAAAATTCAAACACTGGTCAACTGACTCGTATTTATGACAGTTACAGGATCCCGGGGTCATGTGATCTCCTTTTAATGACCTTCTGATGACCAAAGTCAATGGGGGAAGCCAAATTTCACTTTGTAACCGGGTGGCTAATTGAACAACTGTGATTCACTTAATGACAGTGGCCAGAAAGGTCATTAAATGGGGCCCAACTCACTTAATGTCTCTCTCTTAGCAGCAGTAATTTGGGGACTCAATTGCAGTCGTTAGCTAGGTTAGCTAAAATGTTTAATATGTTTAGCAAATCTTGGAAATGCAACCAAAAACGGGCACATTTTATCATATGTGGTGTCAAAGCAAAAAAAAAAAAATTGGGCAAAGATACAGAGGTTGGCTAGAAAAGATGATAGGGAAACGTAGATTTTAAACCTGAGCTATTTTTTATTAGATATAATATCAGAAAAAAAATGATAAGAACAGTATATGTTTAATATTAAGCCTTAACAGCAGCGAGGATTATATTCGCACTATACTGGAAAAATGAAGATATACCACGAGATGAAGAGATAGAAAGGTAGTAGATTGTGCAGAAATGGATAGATTGACGTAGAAAATTAAACAGAAAGAAGATGTAGAATATTATCAAACATGGCATCTATTTTGCCAATGGTTGGAAGAAAGGGATGGAGATTTAAGAATGTAAATTTGCACTGTTAAGCAAACGAAATACCCAGACAACATGATGTTTATTAAGCGTCAAGAAATGTATTTAATAGAAAATCAATTTTAAAAAGTTACGCTCGTTAAGTCAATCTGTACAATGGGCTTAGAAGGTTTCTCCCTGCTGGCTGGGGAATTCTGGAAGGGTCCCCAAGTCTTAACGCTGCCAAGGCGGGACACTTCTGTTCTAGAACAGTAGAGATGGGAGGACGAAGGGACGGAAGGATAATCGGGTCTTTTTTCCAGCTCAGCGACCTCTTCGAAGGAAGATAAAACCAGTACAGGAATTCACAAAGAAGGAAGCTCAACGGAGGCCAAGAGAAAGAGGTGAGGAGGGGATCAGGAGTAAGGGAGGGAAGGTCAGGGTCAGGATTCTGGCAGTTGCCCTCATTAAATTATTAGCCAAGCTTCAAAAACTTCGAAGGATTTATTAGGAGCGAATAGGTCGGCATGACCTGTATGTTATTGTCCTGAGACACGTAATCACCTATGACCCTGTTTTCCTCCCGCGCCCTCTGGGCGTATCACAATTCATATTCTCTAAGAAACAGGTTCATAGCTGAGAGTCATCAATCATATTCTCCAATTAGGAATTTTCGCGGCAGAAATTCCGGTAGCTTAGTTACAATCTTTGCAAGATAACCATGGAATACACTTTGGGTTCGAACTGCTGCCGCACTGTTCCTCCAAATTTCTCTCCCCCTCCCCCTCTTATTCATGGCAACCCTAAAACAGGCGTAGAAATGTTTTATGAGTTGACAGTCAGTCTAAAATTCTTCTCCACTCTGCCGGTTCTGTTTCATATTCCGCTTTGTGAGGATTTTATTGCAGACGTCGAAAAAGGCCAAGGTTTAGCTGATGTTTCCTTACAGGACCCCTTGATTTCCCCCTGCGTGGTCTCTGTTTCCTTGTAGTTCGATGGCCGTGACTGTCCGAGAAGACAAAACCACGACTGCAACGTTTATGGAAGATGACAAAACAACTGAGCTTTGCAGTCCTGAAAGGTAGGGATACAGGCGCCAATAAGAAAGCAGTGGTTAGAATGAGGTATTTGGGGGCTGGTTCTGCCCATTGCCAGCAGTTCGATCCTGACTGGCTCAAAGTCTTCCATCCTTCCAAGGTGGGTAAAATGAGAACCCAGATTCTTAGGGGGCTGACTCTGTAAACCACTTAGGAAAAGCTGGTATGGCATGGTAAGGTATTCTATTCCTATTCTTATCAGATCAATCTATCTATTCTATTCTATTCTATTTTCTACTCTACTCTATTTTCTATTCTATTTTCTACTCTATTTTCTACTCTATTTTCTATTCTATTCTACTCTACTCTACTCCACTCCACTCCACTCCACGCAATCCTACACTATTCTATTCCAAATTTCTATTTCTATTCCATTCCATTATTTTCTATTCTTTCTATTTTTATTCTTTCTTTTTTACTTCTATTTCTCTTGTGTCTCTCCCCCCGCCCCCACCAGTTCTTTCATTAGAAGGAAGCAGCAACTGTGCCATGAGATGAGAGAATTGTTTTTTGACGTAGCCCAAGAAAACGCCTTCCGGCTGCACGATCAACTCGACATCCTGGAGAGGTAAGGCAGGCTGAGCCCTTCGGTGTTGCTTTCAAGTTGCAAGCCACAATGATCTGCTTTGCAGGTCAGGCCAAGCCGAACAAAAAAAACAAAAAAACAAAAACTACCCGCTCGATAACCAAGCAAGTAGATAAGTAAAGAGGAAGAAGAAAAATTCAGATGTAGTGCAGAAAAATTCAGAAGATAAATTTGCATGTCTTTATAAATATTGTAGGAGATATAAGAAGAGGTAGACTTTGACTTACGAGCACAACTGAGTCCCCAAATTTACGTTGTTAAATACCTTAGTTTTATTCTACAGGTCTTGGACCTGCCTGCCCCCAACACACACACACACACACACACGGTCACAAATGGTCAACGAAATGGGAAAAGGCCAGTTTACATTGAACTTATAGGCCCCTTATAGATGCTGGAAGCTTTAAGAGACTTCTTCAGATGTTTAAAAGGTGAAAGTTCCCCTCGCACATACATGTTAGTCGTTTCCGGCTCTAGGGGGCAGTGCTCATCTCCGTTGCAAAGCCGAAGAGCCAGCGCTGTCCGAAGACAGTCTCCGTGGTCATGTGGCCGGCAGGACTAAACGCCGAAGGCGCACGGAACGCTGTGACCTTCCCACCAAAGGGGCCCCTATTTTTCTGCTTGCATTTTTTACGTGCTTTCGAACTGCTAGGTTGGCAGAAGCTGGGACAAGGAATGGGAGCTCGCTCCCTTATGCGGCGCTAGGGATTTGAACCGCCGAATGTGGATGTTTATGTTTGTGTAAAACACGCCAACCCACTTGACAGGAGACGAGAGGAGAAGAACATTCAGAAATACCTGTGCCTGAACTATCTGACCCGCTTCCGGAAAGATCTCGAGCGAATGAAACAGTCCGTGGTGGGCAAAGAGCCCGAACAAGATGCAGAATCGGAAAACTGGTGAGAAGTGGGGGAAGGCCCCAGCTGGACTTTTGGGGTTGCGTAATTCTGCAGAGGAAAGCCAAGAACGTGGTTGCGGCATCATCAATCCGCTTAACTGCAGTTGAAAACAAACCCCAAGTTCCTTAGTGCACCTTGGGAAGAAAAGATGTTTCCGTCATCCTAAATTCAGGCGATTTTAGCAACTTAAATTTCCAAACATCTTGTGGCTTTGTGGAACTGTAATGGTTACTGGGGGAATCAGTAAGATGGGAGGGCCCTTCCCCTAGAACAGTCTTGATTATTATCAGTTGCATACCAACATTGATGTCGGGGAAACTGCCAGACAGGCTGGAAGGAGTCGTCAAACGAGGTTCTAGCTTGGAATCCTCGCGTAGTTGCAAGCAACATAAACTTGACTTCTCTCAAGCGGTATGAATCATTATCTGGTCATTCCCAAGGGGAAGGCAAGCAGTCTAGCAAGATTCTTGCAACATAGGTGGTAGACAATAAAGTTGTTTACCCCCAGCTATTTACGAGTGGGTCGGGCTGTTTTTCTCTTGCTTAGTATTTTCTTTTTTTCCAAGGTTTTCCACTTTGCTGGAAAGGATTCCCGATGAGATCAGGAGAGACCGCCGTACCCAGAAAGTCCTCAAGAAGCTGGAAAGGTTTGCCAGGAATCCGGACTTACGCATCCGGCCTCCCACTTTTTTGAAGGTCTTGGGAGAACTTCGGATCTGGGAAATCTGCTCTCCGGACATCTGCGCAGCTGTGGAGGTGAGGGATGTCTGTACGGAGAGGAACTGAACTCCGGTCTTAAACAATGCTGTTTTCTGAACCCCCTTCATGCCAATGTTTAAAAGGATTAATTCAAATGATAGTCCTCGATTTATAAGTTAATTGAGTGACTGTAGTTACAACATCACCCAAAAACGTGAGATGAATAGGGGGGCGGAGATGAATAGGTATGGGAGACAACTATTCCTCTCCCGGACGGACAGATGAGAAACTTTTTGCTGGGGCCACTGGAGCTCTTAATAAAGAATAATTGATTTTGATACAGAGGGGTTTGTTGTGTTTGGGGAGCCGGGTCAGAACACCAGCTACACAAAAGATCAATTGAATAAATACAGCAGAACCAACATATCCTTAGGAAAAAGACCTGATCATCCAATTCTTACATATATATTTTTCATCACAGTTCCTGCGCGAATATATTGTGGATATGCCCGAAGACGATTACAAGCAATGGCTGCAGGCTCGGGTGCCGTTCCCCAAACGCGTGCACAGTGCCCCTCCTCTGTGACCCTGACAGCTCCCGTGAGGAGATCTCCTTCGTGGAAGAAAGGGTCATTGGGGGATCCCCAAGAGATCGCATTCTGGTGGATGCTGAAGGATCCAACTGGAAGACTTCGAAAATGCTCATTCTCGGGAGTTTTTGGTTGCAGGTTCAAAAACAAGAGAATTGATCAGCCAAAGCCTCTTCACCTTAGAATGTTGTTCTGCTTTTTTAAATGTTTTTGTTGTTGCGTTGAATTTAACGTTTATGTAAGGGGGAGAGGGAGTGTTACACAGAGTGTTGGCCCAGTTCTGCTATGTGGGGATAGCAGATTCCTTTCCTTACAGTGATCAAGCTTCTTCCACTAAACAAAGCAGGCCTTAGGGTTCACTGGATCCAATTCTTATTTGTTATAGTTGTTTCTGGTTCTGTATTTAACTTGGATGGATTAAAAATCCCTATTTAAGCATTGCAGTGTCCGAAGCCTTAATTTTTTTGAGCAAGCTGCAAAATGAATCCAACGACATTGTGCAAAAAAAACCCACACTGGGTAAAGAAATCGGTTCGAGTCCCTGAGGATCAAGGTCACCTGAGGAAGCAATGGCGTTAACCGTGTTGTCTTAACTTTAGTTGAGGACTTCATGCAGCATTCCTGAACCTTGGCAACTTTAAGAGTGGTGGACTTGAACTCCCAGAATTCCCCAGCCAGCATGGATCAGGGATTAGAGCTGACTTGAGGAATTCTGGGAGCTGAAGTCTACAAATCTTAAAATTGCAAAGCAGACCCTCTGACTATCATATCCTCTCAGGTTATGGCAATTGAAGACCACCTATCTTAAAATTGCCACGGTCCAGAAACACTGGCTTATGGTATCGTATGAATCAAGCGCACGGCGGTTTAGACCAGTGGTCACCAACCGGTGGGCCAGGGACCACTGGTGGTCCGCAATAAATTTTGGGTGGTCCACAGAGAAATGTCACCTCCAAAAGCAATTAATCCAGGCTGCGCAGGAACACAAGGCTGTGCCGCCCATATGGTCCGCGGGAACACAAGGCTTGCATCGCTTGCACTGCAAACAACACGAGGTAGTGAGGGGAGGGGGGAAAGGGCGGAGGGGGGGAAAATTGCCCCACTCGCCCCACACACCTGGCCTGGCCACCAGCCTGCTTCTTTCCGCTTCTTTCTTCTTCTGCTTTTGGCTACAAGGAAAGCAGCCAAAGTCTCTCTTTCTCTCCCCCAAACTCCACCAGAAATGAGTCTTTGGGACCCTGCAAGACCTCCTGCTCCAAGAGGCTGCGCCGGCAAAGACTCATTTCTGGCAGAGTTTGGGGGAGAGAAAGAAAGACTTCTGCTGCTTCTGCTGCTTTCCTTGCATGAAGCCAAAAGTCTCTTTCTCTCTCTCTCCCCCTGAGAACGGAGCTGGAGACGGTATCCTGCGATCCCAAATAAAGAATGATCGGTCGGTAGGAAAACAGGGTGGGGAATTTTCCTGCACACCTTTTTGGGGATTTTCCCAGGGTCTCTAGTCCATGGTATTTAAAATGACGAGCTTGGTGGTCCCTGAGGTCCAAAACTTGGCGACCTCTACTTTAGACTTGCATTCCTGTATTCCCGAAGGTCAGTCGCTTTATTAACCTTCAGCAAACCAACCGCTGCTGTTGTTTTGCTTTCATACGAGCAAAGATGGGCACCGCTAATGAGATTTCAGTTGAAAGCTTTTTATTAAATCACCATCCAAACAGCTTTTTTTGCAACCTCCCCCTTCTGCATTTCTCCGGCTCCTTAAATGTGTCTGATTTCCAGAATCTTCGGAGCCACATCAAACCAACTGAATGAACTTGCTTTTGGCAAAAAAAAAAGAAAAATTAAATTTCCTTCCCGCTTTTAACCCAAGTGGAAAAGTCTCCTTCCAACAAAGAGGGCTGGGCGAATTCGCCACTAACTCACTACAGGATTGCTTTAGAATGTATTTCCCGCCCCCCCACCAAAAAAAAGAGGGGTAGGAAGACCAAATTCTCTCATTTAAACTAGCAGAATAATTAAGGCTATTCTGGTATGTATGTATGTATGCATGTATGTATGTATGTATGTATGTAAATGGCTCTGTGTGTGTGTGTGCGTGTGTGTGTGTATGCATGTGTGTGTATATATATAATGAAAATAGTTTTCCGACCTCTTCTTTTTTTGTTTTATTTCCCTCTTAACCGGCTCCTGTCACAATTAGCATTTTCAAAAATGAAAACATTTTCGTCGGCTTGGAGACTTCGCGATGCCAACTTGCTTCTCACGTCAGGATGGTGTCGTCAATTTGTTCAACCGAGTCGGCCTGGTTGGCGAGTTTCTTCAGGGATCGCCGGCAACTCTCGTTCAGCAGCTCCAAGCTGGCAGCGTCAAGGATTTTGGAGACGGACTGAGAGGAAAAAAAAATAAAAATCAAAAGTTCAGAGAAAAAAATAGTCTTCAATCCAGCAGTCCAGAACTCCCAGTCTCCTGGTGATCGGCCCAAAGTCTCCCAGCCAGCTTTCATGCCTAGGGTGGGACTAGAAC